AATCAATATTAATATTGTTCTCCTACTTCCTTATGAACTTCAAAGTAACTACTTTCCAAGAAGCTTCCCCAATAAAATGTTCTGCCACTTCCTCGATTTGACTGTGCTAACACTATATGACCTGCATAAATCACAAAGATCTTCATTACATAACATTCTAAATTGTACATTTAATTCGTCTCTCTCAGGTTGAAATATATCCTTAGTATTCTGTTGTAGAACCAGGTCCCCGGGGGTATAACTAAGCCACCCTGTCACTGGGGGACATAAATACAGGAACCTGGTCATCCAGATTGGGGGGTTGGATACAAGTCTGACGACCTTGCTCTGTAAAAAAATTTTGTTGTGAAATCTAAAGAAGTGAAAGCTGGACATCAAATCTGTAGCCTCTTCTAAGGAAGGCTATGGCTCAAAAAGGGGTTGTTTTGCCAATGTTGATGAACATGATGATGGTGGTGATGTCCTTTCAACAGAGTATGAGACCACATTATCTAGCCATACAAAACAACTGGTAAAAACTGTCTCATTTATTTTAGTTGTCAATTATTTGAGGAAGACAAAATCTTCCTAACTGAATGATAAGAAACATTTCCTTAGCTTCTTCTCCTCCAAGCTGGGATAGCTCATTCAGTGTAGTGACAATGCCAAAGGCTGGAAGACTAAAAAATAAGGGTTCGACACCTGGTGGAGGTAGAGATTTTTCTCTTTGCCACTATGTCCAGACCAGCTGTGAAGTCCTTCCAGCTGCCTATAAAATGGGTACTGGATGAAGCTGGAGCATGAAGCAGACTACTAACATCCATCTAGTGTCAAGGTTAATAATCTATGCAGCTATATCTCCATTCCCAAACACATCATCATCGGCCTCATTTAAGACTGTTACAGTTGACTAATTTTTAAATATCTATAAACAACTTATAATCTTCATGTAACATTCACTTATATGTTTCTAGTGAAATAAGAACATCATTTACTTATGATCTATTTCTATTGCAACAGGAGAGCAAAAGAAATATCTATTTTGAATCTGCCTGATGGCAATACCTCATACATAAAATGAACTGTACAGCCATATAAATTGACTCTCACCCAATAAATATACTGTGAAACAGGATCAAATTCAACAGCCTTAATGTTCTTCACACTATGGATGGGAAGGACTACATCAGGACAGTCATCAGTGTCGGGAAGTAAGCGACTCAGCGAATTCTTCTGACCAAACAGGAGGAAAGATCTTGGTCCTGTTAAACAAATATACATATGTGAAAGACAGAGACAATGTCTGTATTTATACCCTGACCAAAATATTTACCCTTCTATATACCAAATGAACATTAACAAGTAAACACTGATATGACCTGTGTTATGCACTGAGCATTATAATTTCTCTGACATGATAAAAAAAATGTTAATAGTCAGTGAACAACCACTGGAAAGATGAAGGACATGGCTGACGGGCCATGAGAGAAAATATATAGTAGATGGCTTGTACAAGTAACAGAGCCAGGACAGCTCAGTCAATATAGTGATTACACTATAGGCTGCCTAACTGAGAAATCAGGGTTTGATCCCTAGCACAGGATTTATCTTCTCTGCAGCATGCAGTCTGGCTCAGAAGCACATTCAGTCACCTGCCCAATAGATAACAAACAGTAAAGCAGCCACAGCATGAAGCTGAGTATTCATCTTCACCCATTGCTGAGGTTAAGAATGTGTGGGGCTATACCTCAAGTCCTCCAGGCACTCTCATGGCGCAGTAATTAATTCAGCACAGGGACATTATTTATTTTGGCTCATAGCAACAGATACAAGAAATCGCTTCTTTAAAGTGATAATTACTGGGATTAATATTAAATTCAAAAGGACTGAACATTAAATTCACTGTAATATTTCTAGGAGTAAATTTAATCTCCTTCCACAGACATTTTCTAGTTTTATTGCACATTCATACCCACCGTCACTGAAAAAGTACCTGTTAATAATTTTATCATATGAAATTCAAATTTTAGAGAATAATCGGATGTCTCATGGAAATACGCTAGGTTGCACAGTTTATCAACTTGCCTATACACGTCTTGTTACCATCTCCAAGCGTGTAATGAGTGGGGCAGCCACAGTAATGTGTATTGGACTGCCTGCTGCTTGCTAATGGAGGCAATGCTAAGCAGAGATGTGAACACCCGCCGTTCCCTACAGCACACTGATTCCAAGCTGACTGTCGTGAAGTGTGAAAAACAAGAATATCTGTGATGAATTCCAGCTTGCTGTGAATGATGGTTCTATTTGAACCATTTGTCTTGTTGGCTCGCTCAATGATGCCAGTTTTCCAGTCTGCCCAGTAGATGTAATCCTGCAAATAATTTTGCAATTACTTTTAACTCCATGGCAAAGACTATGTTGAAAAGTTTATAATTACTCAGTTAATGAAGATAATTTCAGCATTTAGGGAACGTGATGGTCCATCATCATGTTCCTGAAAGTTCACATTGAATGTACCAGAAGGTCTTTAAATGGCATATCGAACAATTTGGGGAGGTTTGGGATATCTATGTCAATAAAGTTCAATGAACATGGGTCTGCTGTCCTGATATTTCACATCTAATGCTATTCAGTGTATTTTTTTTTATGAAATTTGGCATCAGAGGTTAACAATGAAAGCAGTAAAGTGAATTTCATTTCTGTCAATGTTAGTCCACTACAATTCCTCTTTAACAAAAAGATCAAATACAACTTTAATCAAAATATGTCAACACAAAAATGTGAGGGTGGGGGGGAAGGAAGAGAGACATAATGGATGAGGAAGCAGTGTGACAGGAGTAAGAAATTTGGTTCTTGGGTAGCGCAATTATGTAGAAAAATAAAAAGAATCACAAGAAAAATACATTATACAAATATTATGTTTCTGGACATTATCCATCATCCTGTCTTTATCTAAAAACACCACCCTGTTTATATTTCAAAACACAAACAGGGTGATGGATAATTTCCAGAAACACAATATCTGTAATACTATACCATCGTCACAAACTTTTAGATCTTAAAATACACGATGTTTGATGTTCTGAAGGCGTTCCTCTGGGATGTGATATGTACCGATATCTTGAAGGAAACTGCTGCCTCCAGCTTAAGAGTATAAGATGGAGATGAGAGGTTCTACTTACCGAACCACAAGATATGACAATCTAGAAAACCATAATCTTCAAAAGAAAAATACTTTTTTTCACTCAGGGGTTGACCATAAATTTAATTCTATTATGACCCTTATTTATAATGAGCTGCTAATCTTAATCAAATTTAAAGAGTATAATTGTAATACATCTGCCCCCTCACTATTAAGTTCATCTGAATATAAAACAAATCAACAGGTGTAATTACATGATTATAAGCATGTGTAACTTTTTCAGTCCGAGAAAAGATCGACACGAGACTTGGGACAAATTTTGAGGCCTGAGATGAGAATGTTCTGTAATGTTCACTGTAATCAATGTTTATAATAGTAACCACTTTGTAATATTTCACTAGTTACCATTTTTGACATCAGATCCTGCTTCAAAGAAAAATGTTCACAAATAATTGTATTAAAAGATTGATGGTCCAAGTCCTTTTCCATCATGGGAAGAACAAGAAAGAGACAGATTATGACATGCTGATTCATACTGATGTTACTATTATGATTCTGATGGATCAAGTAGTTTACTTCATATGACAATTCTTGAAATCTGACACTGAAAAATCAGTTTTAAAATTTAAACAGAATATTTTCTTTCTTGATTGAATCTGGACAATTTTAGACTTAAAAAATCCTACATAATTCATTTAAATCCACAATTAAAAGTTTTAGATCTCAGTTATAAATTTCTGAAATAAACTAGAGACTCAGGTTTTCATGATTGTGGAAATTTGAAATGTGGTCTTCTACACAGAAGATGAAAGCAGATGATTTGTTGAAAGCACTGATAACCAGCCATAAGACTATACAGCATCATAACCCAAAAGATGATATACAGGGTTTCTTACTGTTCTGATGGTCTTACCAAGTACTGAGTTAATCCAAATGGCTTCTCTAAATTCTCACTAATAACTACAGCTCTCTCCTTTCCAGTCAGGTCAGAGCTCTCTATCACACGCTGTCCCAGTTCTGTCCAGTAGAGGCGATGCTGAACATAGTCTATTGTCAAACCATTGGCACGTCCCACCTTTGCTACTATAACGGTACGGCGTGTGCCATCCATAGCGGCCCTCGAGATACAAGCTTGAGAACCCCAATCGCTCCAATACATGTATCTGCAATATATTACACAATACAATGTATTTTAACAGGTTTACTAACTCCACGGGGCAGAATCCATCTTGAGAAGCTAACAGATTCTCAGCTACTCAGTAAACTTCCCACCTTTTATTAAACCAGACAATTCACTACCACCTTCACATCAGTCTGCCACTGGAACATATACTGAGCCAAATAAATCCAGTTCACATTCTTGAACCCTATTTCTTTAAGATCCATTTTAATATTGTCCACTTAAATAATGTATTCTGGAAACAAAAACTTCAACTTCATCAAAAATGTAAAGAACTACGAAACCAAGACTCACCCTTCTCTTGGATCCAGTGCCAAACTGCGAGGTTCATCTATGTCTTTCCATATTAGAACTTTCCGAGAGCGTCCATCTAATCCAGCAACTTCAATTCTCTTGCTACCCGTATCAGTCCAGTAGATATTATGAGCTACCCAATCCACAGCCATACCTGTGCACATTTACAGCATAGAAATATAGTGAAATTCCTATTCAGGGTCTATGACATGAGGTCTCTTACAATTAAATTTCCCTTGTTCCAACTCAAATACAGCAGTGTTACATATCATTTACATACAACCTCCTCATTTTAGTATTTAAACCTGTTACACCCAACTATAATTGAAATTTGGATCTCATGAAAATGACTATAAATCTTTATTTTATGCAGAACTAAAGGACCAAACAGCAATAAACCAAAGCTACAGGCATGTAATTTTGAGGTGTATTTCTTCTTTAATCAGTGATATACAATGGAAGGACAAATATACCATTATGTGGAACTTATGCATGGGTTAAGCTTCATAAAGATCTGTGAGATTATATTATACATTAAACACATTGTCTACAAATTAGAAATATAATCAACATTTTTCCTAGTGCTACTACTGCTGCTACTTTCGTAGTATTCAATGACGTCAATGACTTCCCGAAGCTTCATATACAAGAAAGAAATTTACTCTGATATTTGTACATAAACAGAAAATAAAAATTTTTTAAACAATAACAAAAACATCTGCATACCTTCTGGTGAATCCAAGCCAAATTCAACGATCTTCTGCATATCTGAACCGTTCATAAAGGCACGGCTTATAGCTTTCACTTTTACATCTGTCCAATAAATGCGGTTCTCATTGATGTCAAAATCCAAAGCACTGAAGGAGAATCATATTATTAAATTTTTTTGCATTTTATATACCATCACACACTTTACTGCACAAGGAATTTGTCCTGTTTCATTATGTACTGCTCTTTCTGAATACTTCCTTCTCTGTGCTGTGTTCCAGACTCAATATGAGGAAGAAGATGGAGGAAGGAAGAGAAGAAACAAGACAGTGGAAGAGAAATAGTTGGATAAAGGGAATGAGAAACACAGGGATGATGTCGTGCTTATTTAATTATGTAATCAGTATCTGTCTATGTAATACCAAATGAGTGAACAATAAATACATAAATAATAAATTGGAAAGGATACGTCATGCAGCAGAGACGACCTAAGAAACCAGCCTTGTAACCGCCCCATTGAAATCCCCCCCCCCCCCGTTTTTTATTTCAGTAACTGATAAGAGTTGAAAATAAGAATTTATGAAGAAACAAAGGTTTAAGACACACTGTCAGAACAAGGAATAGGCAATGAGCAGATAGACCAAACTTGTGCGGACAAGGACATCTGCTAGTCCTTGTGTCCAAGCATCTGGTGTTATTTTCCAAAAAGGAAGAAATGATACTTCAAGAAACCCCACTGAGTTTCTTTAGAAATTGAGAATTTGACTTACAGCGGCAAGCCACTTTGAGAATTCGAGATGTGACAGTTTCTACCAGCTGTAAGTCAAAAGTGGGAGTGTCAGGAGATCATTAGCGACCCCTCATAAGTTGCATCGCTGTCAATTTTGCCATTTGGTCTCTTAGGGCAAAATTCCCTCAAAAACAATCTGTCATTGGCCAGAACCAAAATTAAGCCAACTCATCTTATTTGAATCAGCCTATCAGGGAAGTTAGGAGGAGAGGAGAATAGGCAGATACAACTCAGTTAGGACCTCTGACTCGGCAGAGAGTTCAGTCTAAGATTTTTAGTCGTCTATCAACTTTAGAACTTGGCAGAGGCAAACCCTGCATCACACGCGCTAAAGTACAGAATTCTGTTCCTACTGACTCATAAAGAGATTTAGCTTAATCCATAAGTGGACGGATGTAAGTTGAGCTTATCAAGTGCAATTTCTGCAAGTGTAACACCAGCTGCTTCTAAGCCGAAACTAAATCAGATTGTGTGAATTTATACAGCCGAGTATCTTTAAGAAAAACAATAAAGTGTTGTAGTGGTACAGTGAATTGTGTTGGTCAGAGGTGCTTCACCCTGACCCGTATCCGACCTGAAGAGAGATTCATCTCCACTAGCTAGTCAAACCCATCGCCAGCTTTCACATGCTCACGCCTTCCCCCCCCCCTTACGATGAATCGTAAACAGTCACTAACTGTTTGCTGGCACCCATATCATCAGGTCCCATCCTGAAATTCAAACCCCCAATAATCTCAACAGAAGGAAGAAGCAGTGGAGCCGGGTCACGCCGAAACCAGTCATGACCTAGCAACTTCAGCAGCGGCAACACCAGGTAGGGCAGCGTCAGAGTGCTCATCGGAGCAGAGGGGCTGATCGTCATTGACTCCCGCTCCCTGCACTACTATTCAGACGGAGCCGCAGGCAAAAGGGCAACAAAGGGGCGGCTATAACGCCAAACGTGTAGGTGAACGTGACAGTAGTTATAAGTAGCGACCTACTTGTGGGGCTTGAAGCCTCAAAGGAGAAGCCGGTAATAGCCTGGCATTTACCTGAAGGAACTGAAGAAAACCACATAATCTCAGGAGGAAGAGCAAAAGAAGATGGCTGGAGAGACACCGAAAAGAAAGAAGGTACAACTGTATAATGACCTAAAAATTTACTCCAATAATACACAATAATAAAATTATGAAATGTATTCCAGCTCTGAAAGAAAATGCTTCTGCTGAACGTATGGGGGGGGGGAAACTTCTGATAAATCTACAGTGGAAAATATGTTTCTGATGAATGTGTGGTAAAACTACAAAGACAAAAACAACTCCATCTAGTGTGACTATTTAAGTTTTATCACTTGAAAACTCAACACCCTTACATGTTTCGATCCCTACGGATCATCCTCAGAGGGCATCAAAACTTTTTCCAGAAACTACTATTACAATAGGTGTTAAATTATATACATACACATATAATGTCTGAAATACACAATGGTCAACTTTTCACAATCACAGCAGCCTTCCTGGTATTAAAATTTTTAAAGTTTTTTAAAAACTTTGTTGTTTAAGATTAAAATTTATAAACCATGCAGGTTCGTGTCAATTCTCCTATCGTCTTTCTTGGAGGTGGCTGATCTTGTGCCGCCTGTCTACCTTGCGAAAGGAGATTCTTAGTATTGTCCGTGTTTGTTCATGGCTTTCTGTTGACACTT